AATAATAATAATAATAATAATAATAATAATAATAATAATAACAATAATAATAATAATGATAATAACAGTAATGAATAGTAATACAATAATAATAATAATAATTTTATAAGAAATTTATCCATTTTAATAGCAATCTTATCTGCCATAATTGTATTCATATTAATAATTATTTATTAATTCTTGTTTCGTTTCAATCTCTTTCTGAATTTCTTTATTTTTTATTTTCTCATAAACATTTTCGCAATAATATTTCATTGAAATATTTTTTTAAACATTTGACATATTCATCCATTTGCTCTTTTCTTCCTTTTTTTTTTGATCCCAAATTCATTTACTTTTAAAATATAACTTTTAAATAAAATGCAATTTAATTATATTTGATTTAAATTTCGATTATAACTAATATTTAATATTTTAACTCTTTTTTATTAGAATAACACGTAGGAAAAACGAAGGGTAAGCTAAAATTCAATTGAAAAAATTATTTAAAAAATTTGAAAATTGCAGGAAGTTACTTAAATTAACTCGTCTTACATTTTTGTACTTTCTTTTAAAGAAAATAGTTGAACGAACTACTTTTACAGCTGTAAAAAGTTTAAAGAGACCATGAAAAATCTTAAAATGATTTGTTTAAGGTACTGTCAAAAGTAAACGGCGAATTACGGATCCGTAGGCAAGCCGGTTATGAATTCTCAAACAGTGAGGCCGTACATGGTGGCGCTGGGGTCAGCGGTAGTGCCATATCAAGGTTTGGTGGAGTCGCGGGAGCACCTTCTGCACCTGGTGGTGGCTGCTGTGGTTGTGGCGTATCACCACCCGGACCACCCGGTGAGCCCGGACCAGATGGAAGTGATGGTAAAGATGGTGAACAAGGACCACCAGGAAGAGATGGAGAGGATGCACCTCAGGCGCCACCTAAGCCACCACAAGTTGTAAGAATTTTTGCAAAATTTTTGTCAAAATAATATAATTCAAATGAGAGAAAGTTATTATGCAATGTAATGCAGGAATGGTGTTTCGAGTGTCCGGATACACCAGCTGGTCCAGCAGGAAATCCAGGACCGAAGGGTCCACGAGGTAAACCTGGTCCTCCTGGAAAAGATTCAGATGGTGGCAGTAGAGGACCACCAGGACCACCAGGTGATTCAGGGCCAAGTGGTGCACCAGGTGAACCAGGTCCAAAAGGACCACCAGGATTGCCTGGAACTGTAGTCGAAAAATCCCTTCCCCCAGGTCCACCAGGTCCACCAGGATCACCTGGTCAACCTGGACCGCAAGGACCGCCTGGATCAAAAGGAAATCCTGGACAAGATGGACCATCAGGACCCGAAGGAGACGCAGGAAAGGATGGAACACCTGGAAAACCAGGCAGCGATGGAACAACTGGACCTCAGGGAGAACGTGGATCAACCGGTTCATGCGATCATTGCCCACCACCACGAACAGCACCTGGATACTAAGATACTATTCGATAATATGCTGCACCGATGATCTTTGCATAAATCTTTACATTTCATGCATTCCGTCTCAGATAAATTTGAAAAATTTTACAAAAACAACTCACTGATTCGTGCATGCAAAAAGTGAAACCGAAAAAAAAAAAAGGGAAAAACTTGAAACAGAAAAAAATACAGCCAAGAAAAAAGGAAAAAATATGACTAATGGAACATTTTTCCTCTTCCACCTATCGTCCTTTTATTCAACGGATACCTGTTTTCTGTACTGTTACCTTAATGAATCATTTAAGTTTCATAAAAAAAGGTATTACAGGAATTAACGGTGTATTCTTTTGATTTTATCGATGTAATCTTTTGATAAATTAATTTCTTTTTTCCTTTAAAGTACTAACTTTCAGGAAAAAAATTTCATCCGAACTTTTGTAACATTTTTTTTTTTTCGCAAAAACTATACATGATCTTTCCAAACCTTTAATATTATAATGAA